GGTCTAATTTAAGCCTACAGATATACCATACACTGTCTAGTCAGATATGTAGAGACAGGATAAATCTGGGTTAGAATAGACTACAGTGGAGATTTAAAGAAGATGTGACCTTTATTTTAAATTTGTTTAAACGAGTAAAGCCTTCCCTAAAATTATAACTTTTACCTAAAAAAAGCTAGTTTTATTGAAAAACTCAACCTTATCATGCTTTATAATTGCAACATATAGAATATATTGTACTACAAGTTTAATTTTAACTTGCCATTAATGCACAGAAAGAGTGAGTAATATAAGGGACTGGTAATATGAAGTCTTACATGAATATTTTCCAGTTGATAATTGTCATAAATAATCTGAAACAATTTCTTTCATACTATAAAAGATATATATATTTTTAAATAAGACCTCATCAACTTTCCTCTAATCCATTATTTGCCTGTCCACCCTCCAACACCACCACTGCAACTTTGGATATCAAAACATTGGTTCAGTCTCAGTCTGTGTCTGACCATCAGCATCTATAAAGAGAAAGCTTATTAGAAGCTGAACATTAGTGATATTTATTCACCATTTATTCATTATTTATCTGTGTAAACCAGCTGTTAGCTTTTTTCAGGCATTGTAACTTTCGCTGTGGCAAAAGCAATCACAACTTTAGTTCTGATCACTGTAGCAACCATTTTTCCCTCCTCAAACTTTAATGAGGTTCTAATAACTGATTTACTGCAGGCCTGTATTTAACTATGGAACTTTATCAATGTTTCACTGACCGTATGGTTTTTCCTTATTAAAGCATTTTTGCTCTTCAAGAGACTGAGATTTTTGCCAATCCTTTTTTACAAAACAGCTCGACCTCAGTGAGGTAGGATGGAGATTGTTTTCCATTCTTTCCAGAGATTCTTGATTGGATTTGGGTCTGGAATTTGACTTGGCCATTTTAACACCTGGATATGTTAATTTGTGAACTTTAACATTATAGATTTTGCTTTATGTTTTGGATCATTGTCTTTTTTGAAGATAAATCTC